CTTCCTTCCTTCCTTCCTTCCTTCCTTCCTTCCTTCCTTCCCTCCCTCTCTCCCTCCTTTCTCTCTCTCTCTTTCCTTTTCTTTCTTTCTTTCTTTCTTTCTTTCTTTCTTTCTTTCTTTCTTTTCTTTCTTTCTTTCTTTTCTTTCTTTCTTTCCTTCTTTCTTTCTTTTCTTTCTTTCTTTCTCTCTCTCTTTCTTTCTTGATGGAGTTTTGTTCTTGTTGCCCAGACTGCAGTGAAATGGCACGATCTCAGCTCCTCAGCTCAATGCAAGCTCTGCCTCCCAAGTTCAAGTGATTCTCCTGCCTCAGCCTCCTGAGTAGCTGGGATTATAGACGCACACCACCATGCCTGGCTGCTTTTTATATTTTTAGTCAAGACGAGGTTTTGCCATGTTGGCCAGGCTGGTCTCAAACACCTGACCTCAGGTGATCCACCCACCTCAGCTTCCCAAAGTGCTAGGGTTACAGGTGTGAGCCACCACACCTGGCCCAGAAATTCAGTTTCTAAATAAGGAAATTCAGAGAAACAGAGGAGGGGCTTGCTCTCCTCCCTCACGGAAGGACCCCTGGTCAGACACTCAGTGCCTTTGATCTTAAGTCTCCATCTCTGTCTTTGTCCACCTGCTGCTAAGGCACTGCTCCCAGAAGAAGAGGCCAGCTCAGCACTGCAACAGGAATAAGGAAGAGCATGGGGAAGGAAGTTCAAGCTTCAGAATATGGTGCCCTCTCAATTGCGGTATTCTGGGGCAAAACCCTATGGCCCATTCTGGTTAAGACTCTACTCATAAAATACTTCTTCCAGATGGGGTCCTTGACTGCAGGCGTGGAAACCACCTCTGGATGATTTTAATTGAAAGGAAATCTATTTTAAAGATAGGATCTAGCTCACTCAACAGCCAAGAAGGCTGGAGGACCAGCTTAAACAGTGGCCAGGAGCAAGGGAGTCTAGGAGATGACCAAAATCAGAAAGAGCCAGCCCAGTGCGGACATTAGTGCCACTGAGCATGATCCTACTGCCATGGGCCCACAGCCCTGCTGCCGGTAGGCCTTTGACATTGCTACTGCTACCACCACACTACCAGCAAAGATTCTTCACTGCCCCTGACTTTTCGGGCCACTGGCTTCAGATTCATGGTCATTGGCTGAGCTTCAGCCTAGCACACCCATCTGAGGACTCGTTGCAAGGAAGTCTGGGAAAGCATGAATCTATCTTTTGGAGCCTTAATAGAGAAAGATGGCCACTGACTCCTCCTACAATGAGTCATACACTGAGCAGTTATGCAAATGTAGGAAGGAGGTTCAAATGTTGGGCAAACAATGCAAAGTTGGTTTTTAGGGAAGATTCAATCTGGGTGTCCAGAAGCAAAGGTAAGATGGCAGGTGTCAGGGTCAGATCTGCTAAAAAGGGAGTTCACAGCTCATAGACTGGAGAGATTGGTGCCAGAAGTCTCTGAGAGGCCACAGAGACAGAACATAAATTAGGGATTGCCCTGGGCTGCAGATGGGGGATGGAGGCTGGCTGCTTTTTAAGGAGATAAAAATGTTTGGGAATTAGATTGTGGTGATGGTGGCACGACATTGTAAATATACTAAAAACCACTGAATTGTACACATTAATAGGGTGAATTTTATGTCATATGATTTTATCTCAAAAAAGACATTTCAGAGGGGTAGCCAGACCCCTCAAGTTCAAGGTCACAAGGAAAGAGCATTCCATCATCAAAAACTAATGCAATGGGCACCAGAGTTTCGTTGAATTCCCCGTAAGAGTGATTCAATTTGATGAACATGTGTTGGTCTAGGGGAATGGAATCAGTGGGCCAAATATGTCAGTGGTCCCAAACCTCCCACTTTCTTCTTGGAAAAGACTCCATCTCTTTGCTCGCTGAGTCACATGAAGACATACGTTCCCTGTTGTTTCTGCTCAGAATCACTGGAAGACAATACCCAGTGATGATTGATGGGTTTTCTACCTGAGATAGAAGCTTTTTTTGTTTTAAATGAACTTGTCTTGGGGCAATAGGGGACACAGAATACAGAACTAGCATATGAATGATACTCAGTGTCATAGAACCTGTGGCCCCTATGCCAGGGACTGCCCACTGAATCCTCGCCCCATTCTGTGAGGTGGGTTTGTTGGGGTTGGGGCTGGTGGTAATTAGCTCCCTTTTCACAGATAAGAAAAGTGAGCCACAGAGAAATTGTGTGATTGGCGTCTGGGACGTCTACCTTCAGAATTCTCAACCAATCTTCACTACCACATCTGCCTTGGGCATATTTATTCAAGGATGTAGCATGCCATGGGAGTAAGTGAGGTGGTGGGAGTGCGGGGAGAACGGAGATAAGGGCAAGACCCTGTAGGAGAGACCAAATAACTTTGAAGGACAGAAGTGTTCAATTTTCGATTTTTTAATTTTGGGGGTATGCATGCCCAAACCTTTAGCCAAGTCTGCTGTAGAAACAAAGGTCTTGTGTACGCCGAGTTTTGTTTTGTTTTGTTTTTGTTTTTTGTGTTGTTGTTCTTGTTGTTGTTTTGGCAGGAGGTGGTTGATTGGTTAATAAAAGAAGATGAGTTTCACATTTGGATCCAGGCTGGCAGAAATAAAGGAACAGAGATGAGATTTAGAGATGGGAACTTCCTAAAAGAAGCCAGAAGTCAGATCTAAATGTGAACTTGAGGTGGTAAAACCACCTTGGAATTCACAGAAATTGCAGCTACTCATAACTAGATCTTAAGGGGCGGGGAGACCCCGTTGTTATATGGATTCTACATTTCTTACTTCCCATATTAGACTTTGAGCCTTTTCAGGCCGGGATCCAAATTTGGATTCATCTTCAAAGTTCCACTAGCACATTGTAAGGACTCCATAACTGTTTGCTGAATTATTACGTTCAAGGAGAGGCTTCTTGTGAGTACGTCATTATGTAAGTCAGAAATTGTATTTGCCTACAAGTAAAAGACCAGATTTCAGTGTTTAAATAGGTAAGAAATCAAAAGGTGGGCATAAAGTCTGCTGTATGTCACAATGTCACAAATGTGCTTCTATCATTCTGTTCTTCATGTCTTTCAAATATCCTCATGGTCCAAAAGTGGCTGCTGTATCTCCAGGCCACACCCCACCACTCCCACCCTCCCCACTCAACCACATCCCTACCTCTCCCACCCTCCCCACTCAACCACACCCCCACCTCTCCCATTCTCTCCACTCAACCACACCCCCACCTCTCCCATTCTCTCCACTCAACCACACCCCTACCTCTCCCACCCTCCCTACTCAACCACACCCCCACCTCTCCCACACTCCCCGTTCAACCACACCCCACCTCTCCCACCCTCCCCACTCAACCACACCCCCACCTCTCCCACACTCCTCACCTCCTCCACGACCAGTTCTTATGGCTCCAGCCACACCACTTCCTTCTGAGAGTCTTGTTCTTGTCTTCTCCATGCTCCTTCCTGCTCCATGTTCATGTCTAGAGGAAGAAAAGGAAAGAGACCAGTGGTTTTCTCTGAGCCAGGCTTTACTTGAGAAGGAAAGCCTTTCCAGGAACCTCTGGCTACATTTCACCAGTTAGAACTGGCTCCAAGTGGAGGGAGGCAAAGTAGAAGGGAGTTGATACATATGTGATAAGAAAGGGAGGGTCTTGACGTTCCTTTCAACCTGGCTGGGAATCTATCTGAAATGTAAGCATTGATATCATTGCAAGAGTGACAGTGGCTATGAAGGAGAAAGACAGGTGCTGGCAAATGAGAACACTGAGGCTATGAGAGATGAACTCGCCTTAAATTACACAGCTGGGACTCTAGGGCACTTAGAAGCCCATTGTCTTTATACCTGCTGCTGGGAGGGCAGACAGCAGCAGCCTCTCCTCTCCCGTTCTCCAGGTTCCTTCCAGTGAGGACTGTGTTTGTTCTTTTTCAGAGGCCAGGCCAAGCCAGACCTCATAGGCAAAGCACTTTGGCAGCAAAGTCTTATATCAAACAAATTAAAGGCCTCTCAGGTCTGCAACTTTGCTCCTGCCTCACAGCCAGGGATGGAGGGATGATGCTGGGGCCACAGGGACTCTGAGTCATCGCTGGGAGCGGCAGCTCTGGATAAGGCAGCAGTAGACCTCGGGCAGCCCCGCACTCCTGGGGACCAGGGGCCTGGCCTGGAAAGGACCTGCATTACTGGGGATTCACACCACCTTCCTCTGGCCCTGGACCCTGCCATGGTAGCTCAGGTCACAGATTGGACTGGGCCCCTCTGCCAGCCTTCCCCCGACTTCACAATGCTGTATTATCAGAAACCATGAGGTATACAGCAGAATCCGGGTTGGAGGCGGGGGTAGTGGTAATGACTCTCTATGACTCATTTTGAAGGGCCCAGAGTCAGCGTGAGAGGGGGTGGAGGGCAAACCCAATAGCAGCTCAGAGGAGCCACAACCAGTCATAAAAATAGGTTTCATATCACAGCCTGGTACATGCATCTGCAGATAAGCATACAGCACAGAAACACACATGCACGCAGCAGCCCTTCCCTTCACTCCGTGCAATAAACTGTGATTTTATTCTATTCTATTTTTCTTTCCTTTCTTCTTTCCTTCCTTCCTTCCTCCCTTCCTCCCTCCCTCCCCCCGTCCCTCCCTCCCTTCCTTCCTTCCTTCCTTCCTTCCTTCTTTCCTTCCTTCCTTCTTTCCTTCCTTCCTTCCTTCTTTTCCTTCTCTCTCTCTCCATCTCTCTTTGACAAATGCTGGCTGGTTGAGACCCAAAACAAAAATGTCATGACACCTTGAGGGGAAACCTGTTGTTAAATTATGGTGACTTAGCATATTGGCTTTGCAACACAACTGAACTGGGTTTGAACTTGCTGGTGTGTGAACCAAGCCAAGTGACTTAGCCTCTGGCATCAGACCACTTTTCTAAACCACTAACACCATGATTCCAGTTCCTGAGCTTTCTTCTGGACCACACCATGACCTCCAGCCTGTCCTCTCTAAAATGCACCCTGGACCCGGCGGCTGCACTTTCCCACTGCATGCACTTTCCACCTGCAGCCCGCCAGCCCTTGTCCACGCCCCTCATGCATTCCCTTTGATCTCAATGAAAAGCCAAAGTTCCTACCTTGGCTAGAAAAAACAACAAAGTCTAAGTGGTTTCCCGCTCTCCCCACTCAAGCCCACCCTCACCATTCCACCCTCCCCACTCAACACCACCCCACCACTCCATCCTCCACACTCAACCTCACCCCACCACTCCCACCCTCCACACTCAACCCCACCCCCACCACTCCACCCTCCCCACTCAACCCCACCCTCACCACTTCCACCCTCCACACTCAACACCATCTTCACCACTCCCACTCTCCCCATTCAACCCCACCCCACCTCTCCCTCCACACTCAACCCCACCCCCACCTCTCCCACCCTCCACACTCAACCTAATTCCATCATTCCCACCCTTCCCCCAAAATAGGGAAAGAGGAAGAGAAGAAAGGGGGTCTGAAATGTAATAATGTATATAAGGAATTTAGCACTATTTTTAGCATAGAGTGAGTACCCACTCATGGTGAGAACCCTCTCTATTCCCAAGTGCTGATGTTGAAACTAATTGCTAAGAGGAGAGAAGTGTCTAGGCCTTGGGTGATGAGGTCAGATCTCTGTTTTAGGAGTAGTGTATGCTTTTGCTGGCTTCTCCTCTTTGGTTCCATCTTTAAAAGCCCATGACCTTCTGCTCTTCCTGACATCATGGATGCTCTCATCCTGTCCTGTGGCTACATCTCACCTCTGGATCTGGAGACCCCCACACTCACATGACTAGCCCAGCTTCTGTCCTTGACTCCAGGCTCATTCATCCAGCTGCCTGCTGGACATGTCCCCTCAACTCTCCAGTGGGCAACTCGAAATAATCATGGCCACAAAACCCCTTGATCGGCTTCTCTTCCCCACTCAAGCCTGCCCTCTCTCCCCATCTCAGTAAAGGGCACCCTCTTGATTCTGGTCTTTCCCTCACAGCCCCACATCCTCCATCAGCAAGTCTTTGTGGTTCTGCCTCAAAATAAATCCCCAATGTACTTACCACTCTCCAGTCCCACTGGCACCATCCAAGCCTCCATCATGGCTCATTTCCCGGGATCAGCAGAATAATAGGCCCCAAAGGTGCCCACTACCCAAATCTCCAAGACCTGTGACTGGGTGACTTCACATGGCAACAGGGGCTTTTGAGATGTGATTAAGCTAAGGACCTTAAGATAGTGAGATTATCCTGGTTGTCTAGATGAGCCCAGTGGTAGTCCATTCTTGCACTGCTATAAAGAAACACCTAAGACTGGGTCATTTATAAGAAAAGAAGTTTAATCGGCTCACAGTTCTGCAGGCCGTACAGGAAGCATGGCAACATCTCTTTCTGGGGAGGCTTCTGGAAGCTTCTCTTCATGGTGGAAGGAAAATTCAGAGCAGGCACCCCACATGGCGAAAGCAGGAGCAAGAGAGCCAGGGGGAGATGCTCCCTATTTTTAAATGACCTGATCTCATGAGAATTCACTCACTATTGAGAGGACAGTACCAAGGGGGATGGTACTCTCCCCATTCATGAGAAATCCACCCCTATGATCCAGTCACCTCCCATCAGGCCCCACCTCCAACACTGGGGACTACATTTCAATATGAGATTTGGGTAGGGACACAAATCCAAACTGTATCAAGTCCAATGTAATCAGAGGGGTCCTTAGGAAAGGGAGGCCAGAGGGTCAGAGTTAGTGGAGAGGTGATGATGTAGGAGAGAGAGAGGGAGACAGGAGGAGGGAGATTTGAAAATGCTATATTTCTGTTTTCCAAGATGGGCGAGAAGCCACAGCCTACATCTGCAGGCAGCTTCTAGAAGCTGGGAAAGGCAAGGAATGGATTCTCCTCTGGAGCTTCCAGAAGGAACACAGCCGTGTCGACACCTTGATTTTAACCCAGTGACACCCATGTCAGATTTCTGACCTACAAAACATTGGGATAATAAATGTGTGTGTGTTTTTTAAGCCACATGAGATTTGTGGTAAGCTTGTTACAGCAGCAATGGGAAACTCACCCACCTCCTCACTGCCTCTGTCTCTTAACTGGTCTCCCTAGGGTTCCTCTTGGCCTGTTAGTTACTCCATTCTCTGCACAGTAGACACTGTGGGCTTCATAAAAGCATCTTTCAGATCACATCGCTTTGGCACAGAAAACCTTCCAATGGCTTCCATTGTCCTTAGAACAAAATTCCAACTCTTCATCATGGCTGAAGAAGTCCAGTTACTGGTCTCTGAGTACACCCTCCCTCCGACGTCCCCCTCTTGCCCCTACTCTAGGCTCTAGACACCCTGGATGCTTTTCTGTTCCTCGAGCAATTCACCCATGTTGCCACCTCCAGGCATTTTTCTGGGCTGCTTCTCTTCCAGGAATTTTCTTCTTATTTGTCCTTAAGAGCTTGGTCTGAGGTCTTCTTTGGTGACATTGCATGTTTAAAAAAAAAAAAAAAAAAAAGCCCCTCTTGGCAAATCTCTATCACATTCCCCTGCTTTATTCCATCTCTACCATTTATCAGTAACTGAAATTATCTTCTTCATTTATGTATTTCTTTGCTGAATCCTCATAACAGCATCAGGAGGCTCAATTACCACCTTCGTTTCACAGATAATGAATGAAACTGAAATGCAAAGGAGCTTCTAGAAGATGTTAAGCAACTTGTTCAAGATCCCACTGTTAGTCCACACATAGCCAGCCTTCGAAGCTGAACTGACCCCAAAGCCTGGCTTTTGGCCCCAAGCACGACCAGTGCTCACAGTTATAAAGCCCTTGTGTGGTTGATGGGGGGAGTGGGGCCATTGTTTCTCACTCCCCCAGCACTCGAATGATGGCTGGGCTATGGCAGCACTCAATATTTATCAGTTTGGATGAAGGAATGTATGCATGCATGAATGGATGAAAGGAGGAACGTAGCCCTGTATAGCAGCTGGCACAGAGTCAGTGTTGAATAAAGATGACTTATTTAATATCCTGATCATGATGATGACCGATGAGAAAGCGGCTTGTTCACCATGAAGTGCTACACACGTGTGGCTTCTTCATTAACTGTATTAGCTGCCCTGCTGGGGGAGAGGCAGCGGGGACTGCCTTGGGTCTCAGCACCCCCAGAATCAAGTTGAAAGACACAGGGGCCTGGCGTGGGGTGCAGGAAGTCTGAGCTGGCACAGACCCAGTCTGGTGGCCAGACAAGAAGAAAGAAACTTCCTTGGAGGAGGCACTTGTGTTATTACAAGTTCAAACTTAGAGAGGCAACAAATGCCCATTTCTCAGTGTGTATACACACATACACACACACATGCACACACACACACACATACACACACACCCCACCTCAGACCCCCCAGGGCCCTGCCAGACAGATCCAGCGGAGGAGAAATCTCTGGTGGATGAATCTGCAGACGCCTCCCCAGGCGCTGTCTGGAGCGACCCTCTCGTCATTAACACTCTGTGCAGCTGAGCACGTGCTTTTTATTGGGATGAGTATAAATAAACAACAACAGGAGACTTGAAAAAAAAAGTGACCCCCAGAGGAAACTCGATCTTCAGGCAATTAGAGCACTTCTGTTCAGATAATTGCCAGCTGAAATGGTGAGCTGGGTGCCAATCCTCCAAAGGCAACAACACTGGCCACCGCAGGCTGATTACAGCCCCCCAAGCCATGAGAGCCTCCCTGCCTTTGTCTGCCGCTCAGTGAAGGGACACCCAGCGTGTGAACAGTGCGTGCACCATGTTCAGTGAATCTGGCAGTAAGTGTGGCCAAGGCAGGGGTTCTCACAGGGGTGGGTGATTTTAGCCCTCAGGGTAAGTTTGGCAATGTCTGGAAACAATTTTGGTTGCTCCAACCGGCATTTAATTGGTGGAGGCCAAAGATGCTGCTAAACACCCTGCAACGCCCAGGATAAGCTCCCACAATAGAGAATTGTACAGCCCAAAGTATCTGCAGTGCTGCAGTTGAGAAGCCCTGATTTAGAGACAGGAGCTCCCTAAACATCTACAAAGGCAGAAGTTGCTAATGGACTCCGAACACCCACCATGGGCCAAACACTTTGTCAAACATAAGGCTTCATCGCTGAATCCTCACAACAGCATCAGGAGGCTCAATTACCACCTTCGCTTCACAGATAATGAATGACACTGAAATGCAAAGGAGCTTCTAGAAGATGTTAAGCAACTTGTTCAAGATCCCACTGTTAGTCCGCACATAGCCAGTCTTTGAAGCCGAATTGACCCCAAAGCCTGGCTTTTGGCCCCAAGCACGACCAGAGCTCACAGTTATAAAGCCCTTACTTTGTGCCTGTCACTCTCATATATACCACCTTCTAGAGACTCCATGGGAAATGTGGAATGTCAGGAAAACACAGCCTTTGGCTTCCTATGGACCTGAATTCTATGACCTGCTGTGCTATTTTTATTTGTCATGACATCTTGGGCATATTAGTGAAACTCTCTGGTTTCTTTATCTGTGAAATGGGCCAAGAATACTGCATAAACCCACCAAAGAGTTTGTGCAGTATTGCATGTAAATGCTTTCCAACAGTGCCTAGCACACCGACCTCAGTGAACAGTAGCTGTGATTGCTACTACTGAGTTTGAAATTCAGAGCCACAGAGGTGCTGATTTTTACCAGGGAAATGGGGCCATATAGAGCAAGCAAGGGAGACTGACAGTGGGGGGCAAGAAGGGGAGAGGGACAGGAGGGAGTGGAGGGAGTCCATTCCTATAGCTGCCAGAACTGTTGCACCCAATGTCTCTTTGTCCTCCCTCCTTTGGCGAAAGTGCTGTGTTTGGTTTGCTGGTGAAGGCCCACGATCCTCTGTCTCACAGAAATAACCAAACCTGTAAACATGAAAGAGTAGGCTGCAGGGAGGGCAGGGGGATTCCACTGCAGCTCATAGGGCCACTCTGGCTTTGAGCCTGTTGGAGGTGGGGCAGGGGCTAGGATCACCCCCCACACACAGATTCCCAGGCTTCTTCCCATATGAAGGGAGGAGAATTAACACCTCTTCACCACCTGTTCTGTGAAGGTACTGTTGATACAGCTCTTTCAATTTTCCCAGAAATCCCTGCGAAGTCATGTTACACCCATCTCACAACTGGGAAAACTGAGGCCCAGGGAGGTTTGTTAACGTGGTCAGAGTTGTACAGCTGGGAAATGGCAGCTCTGAGCCCTGATTCCGTGCTGATGCCTTTAACCACTTCACCTCAGGCCCAGTGTGCCTGTGAAAGATGGTGCTAAGACTGGTGGGCCCACTGGGGGCTTCTCTCTGCCTCCTTTCTCTATCCCACTAGGGACTGTTGGCCACAGTGAGCATATGTCCCAAGCCCCAGACCAGCCTCTTGGTCTGAAAAGATTGAGTGCACTCAGCAGGCACAATGGGACTAAAATCAGGACCTCCTAGAACAGCACTGTCCCATAGAACTTTTGGACAATGCAAATGTTCTATATTCACGCTATCCAATGTAGTGGCCTGCTAGTCACAGGTAGTAAAATTTCAGAAGAGAATGTTCAATTTTATTTAATTTTAATCAGTCTATTAGTTTTAATCAATTGAATTATGTATTTAAAGTCACATGTAACTAGCGGCTTCCACATCGGACAGTGCAGGGAAAACGTAGGACTCAGTCTGTGGGCTTTTTGCTAACCATGTCCTTCGCAATGATTCCTTCAGGTCAACCAGCCTTCCATTTCTCTAGGCTAAGGGGTGAGGAAGCCTTTTGGATAAGCTGAGTTCACAGAGGATCCCCCTTTCATGTTTCCAGTCAGTCATAGGTCAGTCAGCCCACCCACAGACATATGCTGAGACCCTATTTTGAGCCAAGCCCAAGCCAGGTGTGGGCACCATCCTTACCCTGGAGGAGGTCCTGGGCTAATAGGGCAAGTTAAAGAACAGCAATAATCATAAAATGATAGCAAAGATAATGATGATAGTGATGGTGGTGGTGGCAGTGATGATGAAGACAGTGATGGTGGTGGTGATGATAGTGATAAAGATGGTGGTAGTAATGATGAAGATGGTGATGATGGTGATGATGATGATGGTGATGATGATGATGATGACGGTGATGAAGATAGTGATGACTATAGTGATGATGGTGATAAGATGGTGATGACTATCATGATGGTGATGATGGTGATGAAGATGGTGATGACTATAGTGATAGTGATGATGATTATGGTGATGATGTTGATGGTGATAATGGTGATGAAGATGGTGATGATTATAGTGGTGATGATGATGGTGATGAAGATGGTGATGACTATAATGATGGTGATGATGATGATGGTGATGATGTTGATGGTGATGATAATGGTGATGAAGATGGTGATGACTATAGTGGTGATGATGATGGTGATGAAGATGGTGGTGACTATAGTGATGGTGATGATGTTGATGAAGGTAACAGTGGTGATGTTGATGGTGATAATGACAATGGTTATGGTGATGATGATGGTGATGGTGATGATGACAGACAATCATGAAGCTAATGATGAACAATGATAGTATTGATGATAAAGGCACTATCGATGAGATAAGACCAGGGACTTGGAATCACCCTCTGGATTCAAATCCACATTCCACCACTTACTAGGTATGAAGCCATGGGCAAGTCACTTACCCTCTTTGACCCTCAGATTTCTCTTTTGAAAAATAAAATTAGTAAAAGCATGTCTGCCTAAGATGGCTAAGATCATTAAATAAAATATGTAAAGCATAGCCTAACACATGAAGGAATGAATAAATATTAGCTTTATTATTATTATTCACTACTATTTATTCAGGGCATACTATTTCTCAAGTTAATGTCTTAATCTCAATTAGTCTTCACGTTGACTCTACCTCATTTCCATTTGACAAATAAGAAAACTGAGACTCAGATAAGTTTAGAGAATTTGCCCAGGTTCTTAGAAACAAGTGGCAGTGCTGTGATTTGAATGCCAGTCTACATGACTTCACAACTTTTCAAGTTGCCTAGTTGCCTAGTGTGCTGCAAGTTAGGCACAGTAAGTACTCTCAACATGGCATGGTAGAGAGAAAATGTTGATGCCTGCATGCACCAGCTAAGCGGTTGGGACAACTCCACTTCTTGTGGCTTTAGTGCCTCACCCATAAAATAGAACCATTTCTGTCCCTGGATCAGTGTAGGGAATCTATGGAAGCATATGAGTTCATCAGTACAGTAGTCCATGGAAAAACTTCAC